ACACAAAACACCACACCCACACACACACACACACACACACACACACAACACTAACACGCAGTTAACGAACCTGGGTAGGCGACCTGTGAGCTGGGGTTTCTCCGTGGTTTCTGCGTTGCTGGCCGTGTCGGCTCCCGTAGCGTGAGTATTCTCGGATGATACGATCGACTCGCGGCGGCTCGAGCCGGCTGCGAAAACGCAGGGTTGTGCTCCCACGCCAGCTCAGATATACTGCTCGCGTCGACTGGTCAGCTGAGCCAACAAGCAGACGAGCAGGACACTCTTCCACACATGCACGCACGCAGGGTAGGTCTTAGATATTCGGCGTGATGTATCCACACTTGAACGTTGGCTGTCGGCGCAGAGAGAGCAGAGAAATCGAGCGACAGTGGTAACGAGGGTGAAGGAGATTCGATGTGATTCGAGATCGCAGGAGAGAAGCAGAACGCTGCGAACAGAAGCGGCTATCAGACTGGCGACTATCCGCAAGCGACAACAAGTAACACCGGTGCATGTCAAATCAGCCACGCACGCCTCGACCTTCACGCTGACTCCGCCGGGCTTGATTCCATCGGCCCGCCAACAATACAGGTGTTAACAAATCTGTTAAGAGTGTTTGGACACTCAGTCGGGGAGGGCGCAACTTCCGCGATGCTCTCGCTCTCCCCGGCAAGTACTCGCGACGCTGTAGTTGTCTTACGCGCGCTGGCCTATCGCCGGGCGGCCTCGCTGGGCGCCAAATGAAGGATAAACAAGGAGGAGAAGGTGGGCAGGCTCGCTACGGCAGAAACTATTGGTTTTCGCCTCAGCTACCGCGTCGCGTTTTGGTCCGCCGCGCCACGTCTCATGTTGCCAACCCGCAATAAGTGCGACCATTCGGCAGCAATTGGTTGTGTTAGCGAGTTAGACTGTCCCCAGGTCGATTCCCGTTAGATCGGCGTTCGGTCCGGCCCCGTCTAGCTCGCGAGGCGAGGAAGAGCTAACGGCGCCTCGGGGAAGTCACGGTCGACGGCAGTGAATAATTCGTTGATTCGATTCATAATCTTCACATCTGGTCCGGCGGCGGAGAGTACTACTTGAGCGCGAGCGTTTTCACACGCCTTACAGGCTGCTTGACCCAGTTCGCCGTGCGCACCTCGTACGTACGTACACTTACTCGCCATCCGTAAAGGACAGGCTGTTTACGCACACGTCAACGGAGCAAGTATTAATGATCCGCGCGGCGACGTCTAGTCTTTACGTTCACGCGCGACGCGTCGTGTACGTTAGTTGCAGGACATACGCGTTGCAAGCTTCCGCGTAGGTTGTCGCAACATTGTATTTTTGCAACAAATAATGTCGTTCGTCGAGCGAGGAGCTGCGACGTCTTAACAATTAAAGTGCATATCAGTCACCTTCGATACTATTCCATTCGTATTGCTTTTGTTTCGATATGACACAGGCGCAGCTAGACGTAGCTAGAGCGACACTACCGCTAACATCCCTCTCCCTGCGTAGCTTTATCTATCTATCTATCCTAATTATATATATAAATATATATATATATCATAGTATATATATATTATATGTTATGTATCTATCTATCTAACTATCTATCTATCTATCTTATTAATCTATCATCTATCTATCTATCTATCTATCTATCTAGCTATCTATCTTCTATTATCTATTCTATCTATCTATCCATCGTATATATATATATATACATATATTCTATCTATGTTATCTATCTATCTATCTATGCTATCTATCTATCGTATCTATCTATTCTATCTAATCTATCTACTCTATCTATTATCTATCTATGTAATCTATCTTATCTATCTTATCTATTTATTCTATCTAGTAGTATATATATATATATCTCATGTATCTATTCTATGTAATCTATCTATCTAATCATCTATCTATCTATCTATCTTCTACTCTATCTATCTATCTATCTTATCTCATCTATCGTACTCTATGTATTTATCTATCTATCATATATATATCTATCTATGTAATCTACTATCTGTCTATGCTATCTATCTATCTACTCTATGCTATATCTATCTATCTATCTATCTATCTATCTATCTGGTCTATCTATCTATCTATCTATCTATCTATCTATCTATCTATCTAGTCTATCTAGAGTCCAATCTTTCTATGGATGTATGTATGTATGTTATGTATTTGTATGTATGTATGTAGGTATGTATGTATGTATGTATTATGTATTATTGATATGTAGTGATATGTATGTCTGATTGTGTGTGGTGTGTGTGTGTGTGTGTGTGTGTGTGTGTGTGTGTGTGTGTGGCTGTGTGGTGTGAATGTATGTAGGTGATGTGAGTGGTAGTTAGGGATGTATGTATGTATTATGTATGGTATGAGTAGGGATGTATGTATTTTGTATATATGTATGTAGTATGATTTGTTGTAGTGTAGTATGAGTGTATTATGTATTGATGATGTATGTATGGATGTTATGTATGTTATGGTAGTGGTATGTTATTTATTATTAGGTATGTAGATGATGTATTATGTATGTATGTATGTATGTATTAGTGTTACTGTAATGTATGTATGTATGTATGTATGTATTATGGTATGTATGCTATGTAGTATGTATGTATGTATGTATTGTATGTACTGTAGGTATGTATGTATGTATGTATCTATCTATCTATTTATTATCTATCGATCTATCTACCTACTACCCTATCTATCTATCTATCTACCTATCTATCTATCTATCTATCTATCTATCTATCTATCTATCTATCCTATCTAATATCTATCTTATCTATCTATCTCTCTCTCTCTCTCTCTCTCTCTCTCTCGTCTCTATATATATATATTATATTATATATATAAACAAAGTCAGGTATAGATAAGGGTGTTTAAAGTTTAGATTGACGGGCTTAAATCCTTTTAAACACCCTTATTCATTATACCTTGCTTTGTTTTATCTACCGGGCTGTTGTGTGTGTGAACTTTACTATATATTATCTATATTAATAATATATATAATATACTATATAATCTATATTTATATAATTATAGAAAGAGGAGACGCTGTGTGTGTGTATGTGTGCGTGTTTGTGTGTGTGATACTGGCGTGTAGTGCCTGTTTAGGCGTCTTAACTCATTTGAAATGGTTTTACTTACTGGGATATGACCTTATATATCCTTCTTGACAATATATTTCGCGCGAGTCCTACTTGAGATTATTCCAGCCTTCTCCAACTACAGGGTATTTTCTCCCGGCATATTCCCTGAGCTCTGAGCTAGGACGCACGTCATGCTACTATTAACACACATCCGTCAGCTAGCTATTCGATCTAACGTTCCGACTTCCGAATAACTACGTACCTTCTTATCAAATCACACCGGCGCCCGCCTCCTCGCGAACACTCGTGTGCGCACGCATACAAATCACATATTCACAAAGTTTCATGTGAAAGGTTTTAAAGTTAAACATTTTACAAACACCACGCATGGGTTACGCTTACATCCGTACCTTGCTCTTCTTCTTCTTCTTCCTCTTCTCCTTCCTCCTCTTATGCTAACACGATGTACCGTATTACAACGCTACGTAAAGATTCGCTACTTCTTCTTTGTACATTCTTACGTGAAAGCTGTACTGATCATCTGCGTTGCAGCGCCCCTGTGAGAATGACAAGGCGTGCGGAAAAGGCAAGTTCTGCGACCATCACTACGGTACATGTGAAGTGCACCGCGCCGAAGCCAGCCTCTGCCGCCGAGACGGCAACTGCGAGAAAGGCCTTGAGTGCGTGTTTGGCAAATGCAGACCGGTCGTCGAGCACGGAACCGTCGGTAAGATTCCACGATCTATCCATCTGTATCTGAATGTTAATGATTTGGATACAAATGATACAAATTAATAATAATTAATGGGTATAGATTCAATATTACGATCTGAGTCTACGGAAGTAACTAGTTACGGATTACATAATTTAGCATGATACCATTTACTTGATCAGTACTGCCATCGCTTTGCGAAGAGAGGCGACGTTAGCGGTTTTCAGTCTTGCGTTGTTCTTAAACAATCCCGCGCTTAAATGTGTGGTATTTTCTGTGTGGTATATTCTTCGAGTTATTTATCTCCGATGAAGAATATTTCCGATATACGATCAGTTCGGTTGAGTCAAAGAATCGCGTAAGTGTAAAGCTGCACATGTCAGCTGGATTCAGTAACCACACCCGAGTATTTGGAAACAAGTATCGCAGCTCTAAGAATGAGCTGCAATTGTCGCTCTAGCTACGTCTAGCTGCGCCTGGTGTCATATCGAAACAAAAGCAATAGCGAATGGAATCATTATCGAATGGGACTGATATACACTTTTAATTGTTTAAGACGTCGCTACTCCTCCTGACGAACGACATATTTGTTGCAAAAATACATGTTGCCGACAACCTTACGCGGAAGCTTGCCGCGTATAGATCCTTGCAAGTAACTACAGACCTCGCCGTGAACGTAAAGACTAGAGTCGCGCGCGATCATACCTTCTCGTACGTGTGCGTAAAGCTGTCATTTACGCAGGTAAGTGTACGTACGTACAGGTGCGCGAACGGGCAGCAGCCTCGTTAAGGCGTGTGAAAACGCTCGCGGCTCAAGAGTACCTCCGCCGCCGACCAGATGTGAGATTATGAATCGAATCAACGAATTATGTCATCGCCGTCGACGTTGACTTCCGCCGGGCGCCGTAGCTCTCTCGCCTCGCGAGCGAGGGGCCGACCGAACGCCGATCTTAACGGGATCGCCGGGGACAGTCTAACTCGCTCACGCAATTGCGCCGATTGTCGCACTTATTGCGGTTGGCACAGAGGACGTGGCGCGGCGGACAAAACGCGACGCGTAGATGGGCGAAAACCAATATTGTTCTGGCCGTGCGAGCCTGCCCACTTCTCCTCCCCTTGTTTATCCTTCAATTTGGCGCAGCGAGGCGCCGGCGATAGGCAGCGCGCGTAGACAAAACTCAGCGTCCAGTCTTGCCGGGGAGAGCGAGAGCATCGCGAAGTTGCCCCTCCCCGACGATTGTGTGCCAAACACTCTTAACAGATTTGTTAACACCTGTATTGTTGCGGCCGATGGAATCAGCCCGGCGGAGTCAGCGAAGGGTCGAGTGCGTGCGTGGCTATAGACAACCGTGACTTGTTCGTCTGCGGTAGTCGCCAGCGATAGCCGCTTCTGTTCGCAGCGTCTGCTTTTCTCTCTCGATCTCGATCACACCGAATCTCCTTCACCTCGTTTACCACTCGCTCGATTTTCTCTCTCTCTCGCGCGCGCACAAGCACGTTCAGTGTGGATTACATCACGCGGAATATCAAGACCTACCTCGTGCGTCATGTGTAGAAGAGTGATCCTGCTCGTTGCCTTGTTGGCTCAGCTGACGTCGACGCGAGCGTATATCTGGAGCTGGGCGTGGAGTAACCCTGCGTTGTCGCAGCAGGGCCAGCCGCCCGAGCCGACGTATCATCCGAGGAATACTCACCTACGAGCCGACACGGCCAGCAACGAAACCAGCGAGAAACTCCAGCTCCAGGTCGCCTACCAGGTACGTTAACGTGTGTGTGTGTGTGTGTGTGTGTGTGTGTGTGTATGTGTGTGCGCGTGTGTGTGTGTGTGTGTGTGTGTGTATGTGTGCGTGTTTGTGTGTGTGATACTGGCGTGTAGTGCCTGTTTAGGCGTCTTAACTCATTTGAAATGGTTTTACTTACTGGGATATGACCTTATATATCCTTCTTGACAATATATTTCGCGCGAGTCCTACTTGAGATTATTCCAGCCTTCTCCAACTACAGGGTATTTTCCTCCGGCATTTTCCCTGAGCTCTGAGCTAGGACGCACGTCATGCTACTATTAACACACATCCGTCAGCTAGCTATTCGATCTAACGTTCCGACTTCCGAATAACTACGTACCTTCTTATCAAATCACACCGGCGCCCGCCTCCTCGCGAACACTCGTGTGCGCACGCATACAAATCACATATTCACAAAGTTTCATGTAAAAGGTTTTAAAGTTAAACATTTTACAACACACCACGCATGGGTTACGCTTACATCCGTACCTTGCTCTTCTTCTTCCTCTTCTTTTTTTTCTCTTCTGCTAACACGATGTACCGTATTACAACGCTACGTAAAGATTCGCTACTTCTTCTTTGTACATTCTTACGTGAAAGCTGTACTGATCATCTGTGTTGCAGCGTCCCTGTGAGAACGACAAGGCGTGCGGAAAAGGCAAGTTCTGCGACCATCACTACGGTACATGTGAAGTGCACCGCGCCGAAGCCAGCCTCTGCCGCCGAGACGGCAACTGCGAGAAAGGCCTTGAGTGCGTGTTTGGCAAATGCAGACCGGTCGTCGAGCACGGAACCGTCGGTAAGATTCCACGATCTATCCATCTGTATCTGAATGTTAATGATTTGGATACAACTGATACAAATTAATATTAATTAATGGGTATAGATTCAATATTACGATCTGAGTCTACGGAAGTAACTAGTTACGGATTACATAATTTAGTACTTGATCAGTACTGCCATCGCTTTGCGAGGAGAGGCGACGTTAGCGGTTTTCAGTCTTGCGTTGTTCTTAAACACTCCCGCGCTTAAATGTGTGGTATTTTCTGTGTGGTATATTCTTCGAGTTGTTTATTTCCGATATACGATCAGTTCGGTTGAGTCAAAGAATCGCGTAAGTGTAAAGCTGCACATGTCAGCTGGATTCAGTAACCACACCCGAGTATTTAGAAACAAGTATCGCAGCTCTAAGAATGAGCTGCAATTAGTAACGGCCGACGAGGTGTGCAGGAGAGGTGGCGGGCGAAGCGCTGTGGCATCGCGCGTGCTCCGACAGTGCACCTCTCATGGTCAGGTTTACGTACCCGCCGAGGTGACGATCACTGAATAGGGGCGTAAATGGGCGCCGATGCCGTGTTGTACAACTCGCCCACCCCTTAACAAACAGCATTGTTCTTACGACAAAACGTACGCTCGCACCTTGTTACGGCGTGCCGGCCAGACAAGCGGCGAGCTGGGCCAGCCACTTGAACTCGCGCCTCGCGCAAATAAAGGCGGGCAAAGAAGTGATGAGTCTGCGCGCGCTCGCTAACTGTACGCAGAGTGCATGTCGTCGCGTCTGTCGTCTCTCTTCCGGAGACGACGTCGCTATCCGCAAATCAGGCGCCCGACAGACAGACGCAGCGTTGTCGCTATATGATGCGTTTGAAAGGATCGACGCACGAATCAATTTGCTGTCGGTTTAGTCGAGAGCACACACATACACACGCACGAACGCACGCACACGCGCACGTACACACACACGCACGCACGCACGCACGCACGCACGCACGCACGCACACACACACACACACACACACACACACACACAATTCGCCTTGTGACGTTGTTCCGTGGTATTTAAAAATCGTTTGTTTGGCCGTGGAACGCCGCTGAACGTCATCGCCACTAGGTGACGTCACAACAACTCCGTATAAGCTGATCCGACCGTGTGAAATCTCACCCGCATATATCGTCGTTGCATTACAGGTGCCCGGTGCAAACACGACAAGGACTGCGGCAATAGTCAGTGCTGCGCGAAGCAGCATGGAGAGTTTGTGTGCAAGGCGAAGCTGCAGATCGGTAACAAGTGCTTCGTGCCGGACGGTGGCATAGACTATAGCCTCAACCAGCTGTGCCCATGCGATCGGGGTCTCATATGTCGATACACGCCACAACGACGTCTACGAGAGTAAGCTATAATAATAATATATAAGAATATGTCTGTTGTAATCTCATAAATGCATGTACATGTGATCTTTCATACACATATACTCACGCGCACCTTCACCCGGTGCCTTCTACATACCTGTAATTAACCACTCATAATCTACATTCATAACGTTTCATAATCTACCGCACACCTAAAATCATTCTTGTATATCTGCTCTCCTATACAAGCATGTGTGTATCTGTAATCTACTATATGCCCGTGTATGTGTTTTGCTACTTGCTTTGTTAATGCATTGCGCTGTGTAACGTTGCATGTTGCGCCGTGACAGTGATGATACACAATGGCATCGTCTAAGTAACGCTGTAATCACACATGTGTTCGTGCCTATAACCACATACCTGCTCTAACTCATATAACATTGTTCTCGATCAACTTGTGTACATATGATACACTTACTGCCTCAGCTATGAAGCAATCTGTGATTAACTTCCTAACATTGTAATTTAATTTAATGATAAAATGCATCATAACATGTAACAGCTTATCGTCGTCTTGCTAACCATATTAACTCAGACTCAATTAATAATGTCACTTGTTTAAAACCAAAAAGCTAGAAATTATTGTGTTTATAGTAACGGAATGAAAATTACATTGCATTATCGTCTCACCTATCATCAAAATTAGTAGTTCTAACCATAATGTATTTTTTCGTTGCAGAGAGGAATTTGATTGGAAGTTCTGGACGGACTACGACGATATGCGGTGTGTACCAGGCATATGAACGATCGTGACGTCTCTCTACCGCGGCACCATGACGTCATAGAAATATCGCGGCTGTTACGTTTAGCATTTAGTTTTTGTTATTATTGACAATCTATTTTATGTAATCTCATGTAAATACGAACGCTGTGTCAAGTTAGTTAACGATATTGTACCAATGTGATCTTAATGTCAAACACATCATGCTAGTGATAGTCGGATGCATAGATTGAGTGTAGATGGCTTGTTAGGATAAACACTGAGAAATGACAGTATACTGACAATATCGATTTATGTAAGTTCCATTTTTATTACTTGCGTCGGAAGAATAGGTTTATCCAGGATTGTTTTCTGATCAATCATGAAGCAAATGTGTGGGAAAATGATTTTAATATTAATAAATTATTATGTCAAAGTGTCACTATACATGATTTTTTGTCAAACATTTATATAATTATAAAACGTTCATTTTTTAAAACAAAGCACCTTTATAGTACACAATATACTGATACTTCATTAGATTGATTTGTATTGAACTGCAGGTAAATTTGTTAGTGCTCAATTTATTGTTCATAAGTCAAATAATTTGTTCAAAAATATTCTTTACAATTACATAAAACGAGCTAATGTGCTCATAAATATTCTCTCAACATTATAATACCTTTCCAGCAGAATGGCAAACAAAACTGCTGATATCTTGATCAATCGTTCCTATATCCCACAATGAGGAAAAAGAGCAATCCTACAGTCATATTCTCTTCCAATACTGCACACAAAGCAAGCTTTAAAATGTTCGTAATTAGGAAATAAATTATGAAATACAACTACAACATAAAGCAGTTCTGTACGTGTGAATCAGATTCAACGCTTCGTAACAACAAGTGCCGCAGAGCGACAGCGCTCACCTGACGGCAGGTGTTCTGATGCTAAACTCACTAGCAAACGAATCAAGAGCACCCTCCCATCGCCGCGTTCGCTCTCCCTCGTTGTCTCTCTCATTCTTTCGCTATCTCGCTCTTGCTCTCTCTTCCCTTCGCGCTCTCTCTCTCCCTCTCTCTCTCGCTCTCTCTCCTCTCGCGCCTCTCCCTCTCTGTCTATATCTCGTCTCGGTCTTTCTCTCCATTTCCCTCTCTCTCGGTCTCTCTCTCTTTTCCCCTCACTCTCTCTGTCTATCTCTCTCCTCCTTTCTCCCGCTCTCTTTTTCGCTCTCTTTCTTTCTCACTCTCTCACTTTCCATTTCTCTATTATCCATAACAAGGGCCTGTTTGTCAGAAACAAAACTAGTCTTATTATGAACATTTCTCTCTTTGGACGTTTACAGAAATATTGTAAAGTTACGCGAATAAAAAAAATCCTAGCAAATTTCGTCGCTACTGTACAAAACAAAGTTCTGTTAACAGTCTATGAGAAATGGTCAATGTTAAGAGTACTGTTAGAGTACATCATGAGTATTTAGTGGCTATCACAAAATCTAAAACATTGAAGCGAAGTGTTGTGAAGAAGTTGTGACACTTTAGACTTGTGATAGTTTTAAACTATTTATGATGTTGCTGACAATGCACCCCTTGACTCATTTCTGGCCCATCCCTGTGCACTATGTTGCAAAAATGAACAGTCGATTGACCTAGGTAACCCAATGTCGTGGTCTATGGAATTTTATACTACATGATTACTTAGAATGATTGTATCACAGTATATTTAAATGACATTATAAAACTTACCAACATTCCTACGAAATTCCTGTGCATATGTGCTAACTGTAACACGTCTATATGCCTGATACAGAACTAGTTTAAAATTTGTTTTTATCACAAAATGTTAACGTCGTGGTGGCCTAAGGTGATGGCAGTGGTCACTAAAATTATGCACTAAATTAACTTGTCTTGCAAGCTGGCTACAAGATGACCCGAATAGTGTTATTACTTTAGTATTATTGTTACAGTGGTGATGAATTGTTTGTTTTTAGCTCATCTGACATAGTCAGATGCAGCTTGTAGAATCGCATGCGCGTGCGTCCTGTGCGTCGCGCGTCCATTCGTCAACAGTTCGCACAAGATCTAAACGGCTCGACATACGCGGTCACGATATTCGGAACGTGGGGGGGATAATCGCGAAAACGAGTTGGATGTCGAAGCCTGGGGTCAAAGAGTCAAAGCGTTGAAGAGGTGTAAAAGAAGGCAGAACATTCCCTGCCTATAACTTAAAGGTATAGGGAGGAAATGCAGAATCGCGCAACAAATCTAAATGGCCGACCTAAGGCCTCGTGCATAGTCGTGTGTATAGCATAATTCTAGAAAGCCATCACTGTGCCGAGATTGGAGGTCACAGGTCAAAGGTCATAGGCACGGGCAGATTGTAGACATTTTCTGAGGCACATGGTCTGTCGGAGCGAATTGAAAAACTTTTTGTTCAGCGGTGACACTAGCATTTTTATGGCTTTTATTAGCTCATCTGCACATAGTTCAGAGCAGCTTTGTAGAATCGGCTTGATCGTACCGTTACCGTCCGTGCGTCGTGCCGTCCGTCCGTGCGTCACACGTTGGGCAGCAATTATCTTAACAGCGCTCGACGTACGGTCACGATATTCGGGACGTCAGTTGGGATTCGGCAAAACGAGTTGGGCTGTCGAAGCTGCGGGGTCAAAGGTCAAATGCGTCAAGAGGCTGTAAAAGAAGGGCGACATTCACTCCTTAAACTAAGGTATAGGAGGGAAATGCATAATTGGCGGCAGGCACAAATCTAAAACGGCTCGACCTAGGCTCGTGATAGTCGGTGTATAGCATCATGGTAGGAAAAGCATGACGTGCCTAAATTGGAGGTCACAGCGTCAAAGGTCAATGGGCACAGGGCCGATTTTAGACATTTTCTGAGGACATGGGGTCTGACGGAGCGATTGAAAAACTTTTTGTTTCAGCGGTGACCCTAGCATTTTATGGCTTACTTGAAATGGACCATGAAATGTCCTTCTGCTGACATGCGAAGAGTAAAGCGTGTCAGGATAACCTTTTGACCCTCAAGAGAGGCAGGGTTAAACATGGATTTGTTACTGTTACAAAGGATGTGAACTGCTTTGCTATTTAGAGCCCCCTCCCTTCACCCTCCCCTTTCCCCTCTACCACCCCCTCCCCACCCCTTCCCCACCCCTCCCCCTAACCCTCCCCTGCCCCCTACTCAAGAGGAGGGCTTAAACATGGAATTTGTTGGACTGTCTGTTTAGAAGAATTGACTGCCGGCGTTTGCATAGTAAGAATCTATACATGCCTGGATGCTATGAGGCGTTACAATGTGCCAGTGAAATTTCAAAAGCTAATCTGGCTTAAAGAAGGTGGTATATTCCTTAAATCGTATAATTTGCTTATGTCATTTCTGTACTGTCAGTCATGTTACAATGTCCACGTATGCCACTGCCAGTGGCTGTGCGATGTTGGTGGCCAGTTTTTTGCTGCAATTAATTGGTTACAGGGTGCAGCTTCTCTATTGCCAATTGCAGCCTGTAGGCTTGTTGTTTGAAGAGAT